AGAGAGAGAGAGAGAGAGAGAGAGAGAGAAAGAGAGAGAGAGAGAGAGAGAGAGAGAGAGAGAACTGAGCGATACGAGATTGGTTTATCACATACCTGCGCTGAAGACATCATCGAGGAGAGAGAGAGTTGAGTGATCCAAGATTGGTTGTGCGGTCCAAGACAGAGTAGCGGCCATAGCCGCAGAGCTTGGAACACGGAGGAGAGAGGGAGGTGAAGTAGAGAAGGGAGGAGAGATCGCAGAGGGAGGAGGAAGGAAGGATAGCAAAGTTCGAGACAGACATAGCCGAGGGTGAAAAAAAAAAAAAAAAAAAAAAGAGAAAACGAGAAAGGGCGAGTAGAAGAAAGAAAAGGAAAGAGAAGTGGAGGTTGGCGAGGAAGGAGGTGCCGGCAGCCATAGCCGACCAGAGGGTTGACCGGGCGTTGACCAGAGGGTTGACCGGGCGTTGACGAGAGGGTTGACAAGGCGTTGAACAGAGAGTTGACCAAGGCGTTGACCGGAGCTGCTGACCGCAACTTTGACCAAGCTGGAGTTGGTATAATCTCGCCAAGCCCTTAGCCTATCCCCTCGCCCTATGGATGTGCACTCACCCTATAACGACCATTTCGTCAAAATGGAGATTTTTTATTTTTTGAACGAAATTGAAACCGAGTTTTGTGGCCGAAAACTCGTTAAAATTTGTTGTTCCTGAGGGTCCAGCGTTTGTAAAATGCTGGACCCCCTGGCTGTACATGGACCTAGCTTGAGACCAGGCACCTCCTGGCAGGACTGCCCGGAGGTACCTGGTCTCGAGCTAGGTCCATGTACAACCAGAGGTCCAACGTTTTACAAACGCCGGACCCTCAGGAACAACAAATTTTGACGAGTTTTCGGCCAAAAAAACTCGGTTTCAATTTCGTTCAAAAAATAAAAGATGTCCATTTTGACGAAATGGCAGTTCTATGGTACTTGCTGAGTCTGAGTCTGTTTGTCTCTTCTTTCTGCATTGAGTCTCTTCTGTCCAGGTGATAGGACTCCGTGTATGAAGGATAGGGCCTCGTTGACCAAACCCCTGCCGGGCTGAGTAGGGCTAAAGACTGTGTCTGACGACTCGACTGTCTCGGAGGACACGGACCCTCCCAAGGACAGGTACTGACCGGCGGGCTGCTCGGTGTGGCACGGTAGGCCCGAAATCCGAGCTGTGGGGTGCACAATGGGCCGTCTAAGTCTTGAGAGAACCTGCTGACCGCGTCGTCCTTTCTGCGACGTTAAAGAATTCCTGAGGAGTTACGGGGGATCTCCTTAAATGCCTCCTGGTCAGCAACAAGTTCCGTAGTGACGGCTGTAGTATTAGAGTCTAGGCTAGAGATCATAGTTGACAGGGCTCTCTACGAACCCTGTGGTTCATAGATCGAGTCAATAGGTTTTGTCAGTTAGGGGGAGAGTCTAAGTGGTGAGGAGCGGAACCGCCACTTGGTTGTGCATCTATCACCATGGTTGACACGCGTAGTGGAACGAGCACCTCCCCTTACACCGCAGAGCAGGAGGCGAAGGTCGCCGCCATCCTGAAAGAAAGAAGGGAGAAGGAGGCCAAGAAGAAGGCCTTAATCGAGGAAGAGGCCGCGAAGATGAGGAAGATTGAGGAAGAGATGGCCAGAGAGAAGGAGAGGCTAAAGAGAGAAGAGGAAGCGAAGCTCAAGGCGGTAGAAGAGGAGGAAGAGGAGGAAGAACAACCACTGGAAAGGCGAAGGGCAGGAGGACGAGGTGAACCCATCGGCAAAAAAGAGGATTAAATGGAAAAGAAAATTACAGAGTGGGTTGCTGGATTATCCCTGGGAGAAGATGAGGAGGCCTTAATGTATGTGCCCAGGGAAGAATAAGGCGGCCGTGAAAGAGTGGGATGCTGAAGAAAATCCACTCAAGCGGCAGGTTTTGGAAGATGAGAAAAGGATGGAGTGGAAGTTTCGTCTGACAAGGGAGAGGAAAAGAAGGATGGAGGCGGCGAGTCAGGTGGCGAGGGAATTGGAGGAGATAAAGAAGCATAAAGACCAAATGGCGACGCAGGTGGATTTACTGGGGAAGATGGAAATTATGGCGAGAAACATAGAGCGCCTGGCACAAGTCCAGGAAGAACAATTTTTATTTGGTAGAAGTCGAGACATTGTCGTGTGTTCTATACGATTGGGACTCAGGGACTTTGCACGGGAATTGGCGACTCAGGTGGGCTCCGAAGTAAGGACCCGCCTAGAAGGCACAGAGCGATACTGCACCGGCGCCATAGGCGCCAGACTGACCACTCCCGAAGAGGAGGAAGCACGTCCTCGTAGGGAGCCTGTCAAAGTTAAATTTCCGGATCCCTACAGCAGGAAGAAGGAGGAAAACTTTGACAATTGGGAGGCCAATTTTAAGACCTACATGCATCTGTAAAAGGTCTCCCCAGATGAGCATGTTCTAATAGCTATTCACGCCTTGAAGGAAGAAGCCGCCAGTTTCGCCAGTTCCCTGGTTCGTGCTGCTAATTGCAATGATGATCTAATTGCTTATTCTGCGTTTACTCCCCTCGCCGAGTTCCTTAAATTATTGCGCGAACGATTTGCAGACGTTTCGCGCACCGTCAAAGCCTCCGATAGGTTGCAGACTATCCATTCTCGTCAATGGAGGAGTGCCAAGGCACTCAAAGGTGTAATGGATGAGTTGATAGTTGTTCCAAACCATGGGGTCACAGAAACTCAATTGGTCAACCTCTTCTACCGGGATATGCCCGAATCGTTGCGTGGGCACTTCTTCGAGAAGAGCCAGCAGCCCACCATGACCTACGACGCATTGAGCAGGGAAGTGGTGGCGTTTGAAGCAAGGTCCATGTCAGTCTCCACTTTCTGGCATAAGGACCTGGACAAGGGGAAAAAGTGGAAGGGTCACACTATCTCCGGACAAGTTAAGACCAAGGATTGCTTGATCCTTACGTTAGATGAGGGTAGTGTTGACGAAGTCCCCTACGAGCAAATCGAGTGGGGACTAGAGGAGGAGGACAGTGGTGTGAGCCAGGGGAGGACTTACGCTGTTGTGGAGGGAGGCCGCAAGGAGGAGGTAGAGGCCAGGGCCAAGGGGGTCGGGCCTCAGGTGGTCGTACCCAGGACGTTCAGGGGGTTGGCGACAGAGGAAACTGCCAAGAGGGAGGCAGGGGTCAAGGTCCCCGGCAAAACCGTTCTGGGAATATGTCGCCTAATAGGGGTAACAGATCACCCTATAGGAGAGGAGGATGGCACCCAGGTCTGCCACAGGGTAGGCCTTGGGAAGATTTGGGCCTGGACCACCGCGTATGGCAACAACGTGTGGACTAGGGGCAGTGCATCTACTGCGGTGACCCTGGCCACATCATCAAATATTGTCCAAAGTATAGAGAGGTCCGTTCGGCTGCGCAGGGGTCAAAAGGCAGCCGCCGGTAGGGGTAGCAACGGCCCCTACCATAAGGCCATGTGGGGAAACGAGCGCGAGCCGGCACGAAACTCCCACACCACATGTGCCTATGGCAGAGGTTGCAGGTCGGTGCCTAGATAGCTGTCCAGAGACTGCTTGTGTCAGAGTCTCTTTAGGCACTTCCCTCACAGGCGTGGCCGATGAGTTGAAGGAGAGAATGCCCGCCTGGGCCAAGATGAAGAAGGAGAGTAGAGGACAACTAGTCTTGGTAGATGTAGAGATTTTTAGAGGCAGAGTAGGGGCCCTCATAGACAGTGGGGCCACTCGCAGCTATATTAGTAGGAAGGCGCTGCAAAAGTTGAAGTTGGGATTAGAGGTCCGAAAGCTAGCAGACCCCGTAGTAAGTATCCTCGCAGATAATCGCACGATGCGAGTCGAGGATTATGTAGAGGGAGTCCAGGCGTACTTCCGCCTAAAGAAAGATGGGAAGGTGAAGAAAGTTCTCCATTCCCTGACTCTCCTCGTAGACGATAGCCTTCCTTTCGACATAGTCCTCGGTATGGACTGGGGAGAGGCAGCAGAGGCCACACTCCATTTGAGAGAGCATGAGTGTAGGCTCCCTCGTCCATCAGGCGGAATCAAGACTGCCCATCTATTCCATGTGCCAGGAGTAGATAACTCCCTGGCACATTGCTGCCTTAGTGCTCCTACGTTCGCAAGGTTAGTAAAGGAGCAGCTAGAGGAACAGGTTTTCGTAGCCTATGTTAGGCCAGTGACTGAGTCTAAAGAGGAGAAGCCTATAGACCCTGCAATTGCCAAGCTACTGGAAGAGTTCACAGACTTAGCGAAACCGCCAACAGGAGTAGTACCGCGGTCTATCCAGCACCACATTGAGATAGAGCCTGGCAGTAGGACTCCCAAGGGAGCATGTATAGGATGTCCCCGCGGGAGTTGGAGGAGCTGCGCAAGCAATTAGAGGAGCTCCTAGAGAAGGGTTGGATTAGGCCCAGTCCGTCTCCCTTTGGAACACCTGTTCTATTTGTCCCAAAGAAGGAGGGAGAGTTGAGGATGTGCATAGACTATAGGGGTCTGAACGCAATTACCATGAAGAATGTTGAGCCACTGCCCAGGATAGACGATCTCTTAGATCGGGTGCAGGGGTGCAGATATTTCTTGAAGATAGACTTGAAGTCCGGATATCATCAGATAGAGGTCCACCCTGATGATCAATACAAAACAGCTTCCGGACTAGGTATGGGCATTACGAGTTTATAGTGATGACTTTTGGACTAACCATTGTGCCAACGACTTTTCAGCGTTGTATGAACGACTTGTTCAGGCCATGGTTAGACAGGTTTGTAGTAATTTACCTAGACGATATTCTATTATTTAGTAAGACCCTCCAAGAGCATCAGGGTCATCTGAGGCAGGTCTTGGAGAAGCTAAGAGAAGCGAACTTCAAGATCAATACGAAGAAGTGTGAGTGGGCAAAGACCCAAGTGTTGTATTTAGGCCATGTCTTAGACGGAGACGGCATCAAACCCGAAGATAGCAAGATCGCAGCGATTAGAGATTGGCCTACACCCCGCACGTTGACAGAATTGTGGTCGTTCCTAGGCCTAGCCAACTACTATAGGAAGTTCGTGAGGAACTTCTCTACCAACGTTGCACCCCTTCGCAGGTTGTTGAAGAAAGAAGCGATCTGGAAGTGGGACAAGGATTGCACGTCTGCCATGAAGAAGTTAAAGCATGCGTTGATAGAGTATCCGGTCCTTAAGGTAGCCGATCCATCCTTATCTTTCATCGTTACAACTGACGCGAGCCAGTACGGCATAGGTGTTGTACTACAGCAAGACGATGGTCACAGATATAGGCCCGTAGAGTTCATGTCTGCTAGGATGCCTTCAGAGAAGGTAGCGACATCTACCTATGAGAGGGAACTCTACGCTCTCAGGTAAGCTCTAGAACATTGGAAGTACTACTTGCTTGGGAGGCACTTTAAAGTCTACTCAGACCATGAAACGTTAAAATGGTTGAAGACGCAGGCCAAGATAACATCTAAGTTGACTAGGTGGGCCGCAGAGTTAGACCAGTATGATTTTGAGCTCAAGCCAGTTAAAAGGGAAGTATAACGTAGTTGCGGATGCTCTGAGTAGGAGAGCCGACTACTTTGGGGCAATAGTTCACTATCTGGACATAGGGAGAGACCTGGAACAAAAGGTTAGAGATGCGTATGCGCAGGACCCTATCTATAGCGACCTCCTCAAGAAAGTCAAGGAGCCCCCCGAGACCGAGCCAGATTACCGCACTACTGATGGATTACTATTTGAGAAGACTAACATAGTGGACAGATCGTGCGTCCCCAACAGTGAAGAGATCTGTAGTTTGATCCTAGGGGAATGTCACGATACAGAGGGACACTTTGGTTGGCAAAAGACTCTAGCCAACCTAATGCACGCATACACCTGGCCAGGGATGAAGAATGACTGCATAGAGTATGTTCACTGTAAAGTTTGCTAAAGAAATAAGACTACTATGCGTGCCCCGCTAGGTCTTCTCAGACCCTTGCCTATTCCTAACCAGCCAAGAGATTCAGTAACCATTGACTTTATGGATGTTGGCGTCAAGAGTAGGCATGGTAAGAGCCAAGTCATGGTCGTAGTTGATAGATTTAACAAATATGCTATTTTTATTCCCTTGCCTTCTGAGGCACGTACAAAGTTAGTGATTCAAAAGTTTTTTGATCATTGGGTCAGTGAGCACGAGGTCCCATTATCCATAGTCAGCGATAGAGACACCCGGTTCACCAGTCAGAATTGGCAGGAGTTGATGAGAGTCTATGGCTCTAAGTTGTTAATGTCATCTGGCCGTCATTCAGAGACCAACGGTCAGACTGAACAGATGAATAAGGTCTTGTTGCAAGTTTTGCGTATGTATATTAGACCTGATCAAGTCAATTGGGACGAGATGCTCCCAAAGGTAGCCAGCGCCTACAACAACAGCGTGCACTTGTCTACCTGTCGCACTCCCAACGAGTTACATAAGTCCTTCAGACCGCGTAGACCATTTGAAGGACTTAACCGGGATCAGATACAGAGGCTACCGCCCGGTACTAGGGAGTTTGCACTACAGAACGAAAAGTGCTAGCTACCGTGATAGAGAACCTCAGGAAGGCCCAACACCGAATGATAGAGCAAGCCAATAAACACTGTCGCCCATCACAGTTTCAAGTAGGCGACTTAGTCTGGGTCAAGTCTAAAGAGTTTGCTCCTGAGGAGAATATCTCACAAAAGTTACTGCCCGCGTATAGAGGATCGTGGCCAGTTCTAGAAGTCAAGGGCAGAGAGGATGGACCGTCCTACACCATAGAGATCCCAGCGCACCTCCACACCTACCCGGTTTTCCATGCATCCAAATTGTTGCCCTGCACAATGAGTGATCAGTTCCCGTCGAGGAGGTCCATGATCCCTCTTGATATGGATGGCAGGTACAACATTGACGGCATCGTAGGAGAAGATGTGTTCAGAACAGGAGGTAGAGGTCGTCCACAGAAACAATATAAGGTCCGATTTGCTTATCAGGAGCCAGAGGACGACCGCTGGTTTACGACAACCGAGCTTCTAGAAACAGCTCCCGACATAGTTAGAGCCTATGAGAGAGATAAGAAAGGAAAAGGTCCTGCCTTGGACTGAGTTATTCTCAGAGGACCTCGAATTTAGGCCGGCGGGCGTGAAACTGTTGTCACCTGTCAGCAGTAGCGAGTGCAGATCCCAAGGCTCGATCCCTAGTTCTCACCTTACCTGTGTACAGTATATGTGTTGACCCCGAGTGTTTGAACCCGCGACCTGTGTTTTGACAGTTGTTGTTGTCTGTCGTAGGTCGGTGTAGGGGTAGGGGTTTGATCTGTAGACCTGTCGGATAGGAGTCCTAGTGAGTTCTAGAAGTCGTAGCTGTAGCCTGTCCGAAGGGTCAAGGTCGTAGCTGCTACAATCCTGAAAGGTCAAGGTCGTAGCTGCTACAGTACCGAAAGGCCAAGTCTACAGACTTTCGGAAGTGGCCTTTCGGAGTAGGCTCGCGTTAGGCAGAGGCAAGTGGGCAAGCGGTGGAGCCAACCTCAGTGTGTTGGCAGTGCAACTGCAGTGAGGTTGCGGTCCAACCCCATGCAGTCAGTGGTACGGTCCAGTCAGTCCCAGTCCAGTCCAGCAAGTACCATAGGGGACTGTGTGCACAATGGGCTGATGGGAAAGGGGCCAGACCAGCGAGCTACAGAAGTATAAATCAGGAGGCAGCACCCAACCATTCATTCATTCTTGCGTAAGTCATGCGGAAGTGCTGCCACAACGACTTGTGCGAGGTGGTCTGCAGTGAGCCCAAGGACGAAGTGGGCGAGAAGGAGTTAGCCGTAGCGATAGGGTAGAAGCGGCCATAGCCGCCATAGCTGTAGGTGTGTGTGAGTGTGTGCGCAAGTGTACAAGGTGTTGTGTGTGGGGTATTCAGGGTGATCCTGTATGCGAACAGCGGTGTCGAGGGAGTGACGAACAAAGAGTTGTTCAGGCGATGTACCGCCATAGCCATGTGAAGTGAACTTGTATCTGAGTGTGTTCTTGGTACTATATCTCTGAGTTCTAAGTGGGCGCCTGGCGCCGGTTTGCTGCGCGACCTATTTGCATACGTGTGAAGTGTGGATGGATGCGAGTCTGATTGCAATGTTTTAGAAATTAATTAAATTCTTTTCGTTTTAATTGATTGATTCTTTCTCAACATTGCTTTTTTTGAAATTTGAAACTACTTCATCCTTTTTCAGAAATTTTGGAAATATGTTAGATTTTTTTTTTTTTTTTTGACATTTCCTTTGAGAAATTCAGAAATAATTTAATTAATTTTCTCGTATGCAAGGAAGATGAGCAATAGCGAACTTCAGCAATCAAACAGCATCATATACACAAGACCAGATAGTCGTGACCTCGAGCCAACAACAGAATTACATCACGAGTTTCACCAAATAAGAACACACCAAGAGCTCATAATTGACAATGCTGGTAAAGTCTCATCATCATCATCAATGAAGAACCAATGTTGATATCCTATATGGCGCTCGACGCCTAGACTACAGATGGCAGATCCTATCTAGCCTAGACTACAATGTCGAAGATGATGTCAACAGCTTTCCCGAAGTACGAGCATACAACGACCAATGTCGCACGCTTCCAGCACCAGGTATGTCTCTCGCCTCACTCACAACCTCGTTCCTCAACACAC